ATGAACCTTTTCTTCACCTTTTTATAAGAAAGATGGAGCTTATAAATTATCTGTGAAGAGTCTTCTTGCTTCAGCCAATACTGATGAAACAAATGTATATTCTTATCTTTAAGCTTCAAAATCATCAGCTTATTCTTATCTCTTAGCTGTTGTTTCATCTATAACTTTTTATAATTCAGCCTTTTAGAGTTCCTTTGCTTTCTTTTATCCAATCTTTTAATCTCTAATTGGAACAAGATCATCAAGAACAGCTTATAATTCTGTATTTCTTTATTCAAGATTGGCAAGTTCTTAGTTTAAGGCAGCCAAATCAGCATCACATACTTATTAGAAAGCTTGATTATTTGCATCATCTTCTTTTTAATCAGCAATATATCTATCTTCTAAATCATAAAGTGTTTAGAAAATTCTTTCTAATGGTTCGCCAGTTGTCATTTAAATAGCAATTGTATTCAAAAGTGTTCTACCTAAATCACTATTTTCAATTCTTTCAAAAAGAGCTGTATTTGTTGTAAAAACACAAGCAACCAATACCAAAAGCAATATTGTTTTCATTAATTTAATTTATGAAAAATTTCAATGTTAAAAAACGGTATATAAAAAATAAATAATAATTTTCTATTTTGAATTGAATATTGATTTATAAATTTCAACAAAATGAATCTTCCCATGTATTTGATCCTGCTCCACTAAACATATCTATTTTCCAGTAAGTAAATAATCCAAAAGAATCAGCCCACCAAAGAGTAACAAACATTGGTAAGAATTATCTGCTGGCATAATTTCTTAACATACCTGGGAAATAGTTATTGAAATTTCTGGCATACCTTAGTTTTGATTATAAAATAAAAATACCAAATATGAGTAGCAGCTTTTCTATAATTTCCCTCATAAGGACAAACCCCATTAGGTTTCGGCCATAATTCTACCATTTCTCGAGTCACTTAAGAAAGAGAATAACTAGTTATTATGGCCAAGTATGTAGATAAGAAACAGTTTAAAACTTTAACTGGGAAATATGGGATTTCTGAAACTCTTGTAAGAACAGAGAGCTTTAGATGTAAATATATAATTATTTACTTTATCCTTCATCCAATCAAAAGAGTATAATAGAGTTAATGTTTATAAAAAGTTTCTAGCAAAGAGAGGGAAGGAATTTTTATAGAAATAGTATGGTCCTTCTTCAAATGGAATTCTCCATAAAGCATTGAAAAATGAGGTATATCCTTTTTATAATTCTTTAGGGAATGTTTTATCAGCATAATATGCCATTCTAGCAACTTCAAATGGAATTCCAATAGGTGCAGTAATAAGAGCCATAAACATAGAGCCAGGAATTTTTCTCATGAAACCATATTCAAATGTACCCCAAGTTCCTTAATTAAATATTTAATATAAATACTTTGCCATCCATGATTAATAGCTCTAAATGTTGCTAATCTCAAAGCCCAATCAATACCACCTGAGGCAAAAGCAAATTACATTCTAGTACCCATTGATCTTTTGAAATTCTCAAGATTGACAGTTGCTTTACTAAAATTATACAATTCTTTCAAATTATTTGGTTATTCATATGATCGTAAACTTAAATATATATATTTATTACAGTAATTTCCAATTCTCATAAAAATTATGCCATGTTTCACCTACAACACTTCCTAATAATCCTGAGATTGCTCCTCTTGTAAAATTCCATCTCCATGAACTAATTTATTAAAGATATAATTTACTTCTCAGGAGCATCTGTCCATACACCAGCATTATAACAATCAAAATACAAGGAATGTCTTCTTCTGATGTCGTCTAACTCAAAAAACATGATTAATTAATTATTGAATTGGATATTTTTGGTTTTTATATATTTATATTTTGTGCTTGCTATAATTCTCAGATGAACACTTTCTTGTGCATCGAATGAGCTACTTAATATTTCTAATAACAATTATAAACTCTATTCCATTCTAATTCTTCTTTTATTCTCCATCCTAACCATGCAACAATACCTCCAGGTACTGCAGCCCAAAATAGTCTCTATTTTATTGGTAATCCTTTTATTATTGGAAAGAAAAAGAATGAAAATGAATAGACTGCTCCTCCAACTTATCCTAATCTTTCAAATCTTGAAGCATCTCTATTGTAGACAATTAAATTAATACGCTTCAGCATGGAATACTTACTCTGTTAATTTTAAAGGAACATGTCTATCGTATTTCAAAAATTATTTCACTTCTTCTTTCTCTTTAGCTGTTACTGTTTTCTCGAAAAGTCCAAAGTGTTCTGGTTAATCGTAAATCATAATAATATAATATAATTAATTAAATCTTCCAATATTTATTTTATTCTTCTTAATACTTTCAGCTCTTTTTTTATACTCCAATTTTATAATACTTCATTATTTATCTATTTCTTACTAATCTTAAATTAAAATCTTAAATTAAATCTAATCAAAAAAATTACTTAATGACTATTTAATTTGTAAAGAATAATCTTATTCAAATTCAGCTTTATTAATCAATTATTATTCAAACAACAACTCTACTTATTCTGAAAAGTTTTTAAAAATTATATAAACTATAAATTTCTATTTTTTAGGAAAGATTTATTTATTTAAACTTAGAAATTTTAGATAAAAGAGAGCATTAAGGAATATAATATAGAATAGAATTTTAATTTAGTTCCTTACACTCCAATTTTATTTTAATTTGATGTTAATTTAAAGATATTTTAAAAAACATCAAAATGATAAATATTCCATAAATTAGTTAGCATATATTTCATTACATAATGAAATAATGTTTTGACTTAAATTGTCAAATTGCATTTTAAATAATTAGTAAATTGTATTAGTTATTAAAAGCAAAAAGAATAACTAGACTTTATTTTAATAAAATTTGAACATTATATTATATATTATCAATCATTTAGTTGGGTTGTAAAGGCAGCTCCGTTGAGAATCCAATAATCGGGATTCTTCTTAGTAGGACATTCGATAGCTCTAATGAAATTGGTTGAATGTCCTGTAGTTGATAATACTCCTGCTCGAAGACCTGAAAATTTGAATTAATAAATTACTTGTTTTATAAAGAGGCATTGAATATTCGCTTGGATTAGGTTTATAGTCTTAAGTAGGTATAAAATGTATAATAGGAGCCTAGAAAATAGTTTAGCCTGGCAACTAATCTTCTAGTATTCCTTTATTTATATCAAATCTACATCCTTCTACATATAAACCATAAATATAGGCCCCATTATCAGGTGTTGATGTAATCTAAATATATTAAATATATATTTTACCATCTCACTATCTACATAATTAAAAAATTTGAAACTAAATCCAAGAATATCAATAGCAATTTAATTTTTTCTTGCAAATGTTTATAATACTGAAGTTAGAAAACCTTATGGGAAGAAGAAGGCAGAGATCCAATAACCTTTTGGATATCCAAATTCTAAGTTAAACCAATCTCTGAAGAAATTAACTCTTTTAATCATATCATCATAAAAGGAAGCTAAAGGCTTTAAAGATGGGTAAGCTTTATTTGCCCAAATTTAAGGCACTTAATTATTTAGTAATGAGCTGTACATTTTATCAAGCTCAGCTGACATAACAACTTCTCCTTTGATAGCAGCTTGTAAATTTTTTATTGAATTTCCAATTACTGATAACAACCTATTAAATCTTTGAACTTCCTAATTCAAACAAACTTTTAGAGAATCAATTTCAGATGTATTATTTTAAGGGACAATTTATTTTTTCTTTTTTTCTTATTCTTTTATAAGAAATGGAAGTTTCTATTTCAAAATATCACAAAGTTCTAAAACATTTTCATCTGGAGTTTTTGCTTTTTAATCTGAATCACTTGTTTGAGCACTTTCTCTTGGTTGAATGTTTAAAATAGTTGACAATGCCATTTTCGATTCTGTTAATTTAAAAGTAATGTTTGCATTTTCATTCATTCCAAAAACTTCAGGTTTTTCAAAATCAGGGAATTTATTAATTAAATTTCGATATCCTTCAATATTTGTTTCAGAAGGCTATTTATATACACCTGAATCTGAAAAAGAGTATCCATCATTGAGTGCATCTTCACTAAATTTATAAATTTATGATTTACTTGATAAATTTAGATAAAATGGTTAATAAACATCTTCTATCCCAATCATCTGTGACTCTACCTCCATAAGTGATTTCTCCTATTACATAAACTATAGCATCCCAAGGTATATCTTAAGGTAAATCAAGGAAATTTCTTAGTAGAGTGTATGAAGTTTCAAGATCAGAATCATTAAATCTATTTTAATATAAATTTTTACTCATATCTTATGTTCCAACCTAAAGGTCCAAATTTACGACGCTCTTATACAACAGCATGGAAAAATGCTAGAGAATAGAGTAATTTTTTCCATGGCTCCTTTTTATCACAATTCTCAACTTATTCAGCTGATAAATCAGTATAACTCTTAAACATATTTGATTTCAATCCTTTTGGTGGTTCAGTTGTTAATTTAATACTATTCTATAAAACACTTACAGGGAAATAATCACAAGGCATACTTGTTAACATTAATCTAAATCCAGTATTAAATTATGATTATAATTCTGGATCTTCAAACCATTCTAATCTTTTTTCAAGAGTAGGCATAAATGATTTACCAAGATGACAATTTTATAATATTACCCAATCACCACTTTTGACTCCACTTTCTATAGCTTTTTCAGCAATTATTCCTTATCCTTATCCAAGTGAAATGATTCGAAGTTTCTCAGATGAAATTTTCTTTTAATTTGCTAATCTCATTAAACTAGATAATGGATCAGCACCCTAACTTAAAATAAAAATAAATGGTGTTTTGTGATCAGTATCATTGAAAATATCTTCAATTGAAGATTAGTTATTGGATGTATATTTTTTTCCCAAAATTGCATCCACATAATAAGTCATTGCATATAAAGATTCTTCTTCTCTTAATACTTTAACAATCATTAATTTTTAGAAAGGTGTTAATTATTCATTCAATAAACTCCAAGGATTATCAGATTGTATAAATTATTCAGTCTCTTTGAAATTAGTCAATGTTTAGTTGTAAATTTGTATAAAATTTTAATGGACAGTTGTTAATTAATATAACTCATTCCAAATTTTAGGAGTTAATTTAACTGTATTAGGCATAGCTGGTGGTTAAATAGATAAACTTGCTCCTCTTACAAAAAGATTCCATTCAACAAAACTTATTTATTTAGCATTCAATTATATTTTAACAGTCATTAAAAATGAAAATATTCTCTTATGTTAATTAAATAAACCTCTACAAACATTTGAATAAATTGTCTCAGTAATACCTTCTATTAAAGTAGATATTCTTATTTTTATATCATCATTTTTCTCTGAATTTCTAATAACATTTTAATAAAGTCTCTTAAAATAATTCAATGAAAATTGATACATTGGATCAACTAATGTAAAATCTGCAATAACAAAATAAAGTAAACTACCTCTTGTTGCTACAGGTAAATATTATTATCTGGCAGCTTCTATTTCAGCAGATTTCTATTCTTAAGTTACTAAACTTTCTTTCACTTAAATTGCATCTTATTTTGAGATTTTCAAATTTTCAATGAGATCAACATTATCTAAAATCATTCCTTTAGAATTTGCTAATAAATTTAAAATCTTTTCTTCATTCTTTCTTAAATTCATATTTCCATTTGAAATTCTTTTAATTAAATCTTTCTTTTCCTCTTCCATTTCTGGTTTCTCAATCTATACAACATCTCCTAGTAATTATTCTTCTAAGCCTTATTCTGTGACAGTAAAATTAATTACTGTTACTCTAATAAATATTTCTGGTAAAAATTATGGATTCGCTAATTTAGTACTGAAAAATAGTTTAAAATTTGGATCAAATTCAACTTCTCTATCTCCTATCTTTATCATCTTTCTTCTATTTATTATATTAAATTATTTCAATAATAATGGCTCTAAAAAGTTATCCAATTATTCTTAAACATCTTCTAAAAGTAAAGGAATTCCTGTTTATACAGCATTTTCTATGTGCTTTATAAGACCTTCTTATGTAATCTTCAAAACTTTCAAATTGTAATCTCTATAACTATTTTTGATCCAAGTATTTGCTTATAATTATGGATCAATAAACATAGGGTAAGATCTACTAAATTTTTGGATAATGCCATTTGATTTTGAAACTGTATCATTAGGTAATCCATTAGCTGACCATTATTGAATTTCAAGAGCATCACCTAAGACTGCCTCAAAATTATACTTTTCACTCAAAGGAATTGTTAACTCTGTAGCTTTTTCCATCCAATTCTGAATTAATTAATTTCTAAATGTTCCTGTAAATGGCCCCATATAAGCGACTGTTGAACCACCTAAAAATACATTACCTAAAAGCAATTAAATTTCTTCAGTTAAACTTTCTACTTTTATTTTCCATCTTTCCTATTCATCCGCTAATCCTACTGTTAGTTCTTCAGCTCTTATCAATCTTTATTCTGTTGTTTAAATATCTTAATCAAGTCGATCTTTTTCCTATTTATTTTAATTAAATTAGATTTCTAATTCTGTAACTTTTCTAACCACCTAAGCTAGTTCTGATTGTTTTTAAATTAATACTTTATTTGCTTTATCTAATTATAGATTCATAGCTTCAACTTAACTCTTCTTTTTTTCTACATCATTATTAACATCAGTAAATTCACTCACAGCCCTAACCCATTCGCAAATTGATTTTGCAGCAACACTTACTTTTTAAACTAAATTTGGAATAAATTCTGGATTACTAGCAATTTTAGCTTTTATTTTATTTTAAGTTACAGGTTTAATTCTACCAACATCCAATCCTTTCATTTTTGATAAGAAATTAGGATCAGCTAATAGTTTTTTAATTGAATCCCAATCTAATTTTTCTTCGAATAAAATAGCAACACATTCTAGAGTAAAACGTACAATGGGTTATGGATTATTATTACTTTTTATTTCAGAGATATCATTTCTATTAAGTGTATTAAGTGCTTCTGTAGCAGCATTCAATGTAGGAATAGCTTCATTTAAAATTTTATCTGCTTCTGCTTTTGTTTCCTTGATTCGAGATGCTTATTCATTGACTTATCTTTCTTCTTCTGATACTAATTACTTTACCCTATTTGCTTCTGTAGAATCTACCTATAATTTCTATAATAAATGTTCTTAATCAATAGTCTTTTATTTCAAAATTGGTTACATTTCTGTTAATTTTACTTTTAAATCACTAATTATACTGTTAGCTTCATGTAATTTATGTAATCCTGAAGATAATTTAAGTTTATTTGTTTGTAATTCTTCTTTTTTCATCATTAATAAAGTCTTATAAGACTCTATTAAATCAAGATAAGATTTAGGAGTAACATAAACATTTCTTTTCAAAGCTGCATAAAATTCATCACATTTTCGTTCAACACTCTAATGAACATGAACACACATTTAATAAAGATTTTATCTCATATCCTTGGTAAGTCCATCAAATTCTAAAGTTTCCAAAAACATTTCTGCCACACTCATTAATGCTTCTTATGGCCATTTATGTAACCATTCTATAGTACAACAATTAACTAAACTTGGAAACATTCTCAATCTAACTCTTAATTATCCACCAATGGGAGATAATCCTAAAACAATATGTAGATTTGATCTAATCTTTTATACAAAGTAAGGATAGATATCATTAATTTTTAATTCTCTAGCTTCTGCTTATAATCCTTAATTAATGATTTCTAAATCATCTTTGTTCAACATATTAGGTACTTCACCAGAATTAAGAAGATTATTGACATCTTCTAGAAAACCTTCTTATAAAATTTATGTATCTGAAAATGAAAATGCAATAAGTTTATTGTCAATTCCTACTGCACACATCATTCTAAATAAGTCTTCTTTAAATTCTTTTTTACCATAGTTTTTCTTACTTTCAATGGTATCTAATTTGCATCCAGCTAAAACAGCTCCAAGTTGAGTTAAAGATTTTTTACCTGAACCTCCAACTCCAACCAACATATAATGTCCTCTTTATTATCTTAAAACTCTACTGATTCTTGTTAAATGTTCAATAGCATCTTTAAATAATACTAAATTCATTTTTGTATATTCCATCATGTATTCATTAATTACTTTAATTAATTGATTGTAATCTCTAACTTCTTCATAAATTCTATCAGATAATTCAGCTCTTTTTTAAAAATCAGCGAAAATGAGAGGAGGGGTTGAATCAAATAATTCATTAACCTTATATTCAATCTTAAAAAATAAGAATATATTTTTAACTAAGTTCTCTTTAAACCAATCTTAATCTTATTAATTAATAAGCCTATCCATTAAGACACGACAAGTTTCATGTGCCCATAATCTAACAATTTATTCAGACTTTTGATAAATCATCGGTTTGGCCTATAAAATGCCTTAGAAGATCTTACTGACATCTCTAAGATTGAAAACATAATGAGATTTTTCAGGAGTAGGTAATAAGGCTTTTTAAATTTCTGAATACATTTAAAGAGTTGCATTAACAACCGAAAAGTTTTCACTTAAATCTACAATTTCACTTTTAAAATGATTATTTTTTAAGAATGCTTTCAAAATAGTGCTAAAAATCCATGATAAAGTTTCATCACTAGAATTAGGAACACTTAATAAAGCAAAATGACGACTAAATCTCACAGTAATAGGAGATCTTCCTCCACCTGGAGGACCACAAGCACAAATAAGAATAGTGTTGTCAACATCTTTCCAATTAAATGTTTTTCTATCATAAACACCTTTATAATCTATAAATTATCTTAATAATTCAATAGGTGGTTATGCACCATATTATTCTAGAGCAGGCATATTAACATCATCAACAAACACAACAAACTTCTTTCCAGGAGGAGGCATTAAAATAGTTCTACCTTTCTTACGTTAAGTTTGTAATTTTTATTCAATACTTAATTATGTAGTAGAACTTGCAGTTTTAGCAGAAAATGTAATCTACATTAAAGCTATTAATCCATCATCTCTTAATTTTTCAACAGTTGAATTAACCATAATAGTTTTACCTGTTCCTGTAACCCCAGTAATAAAGATAGGACAATTCGTATTTACAGCTTATTCTAAAAACCATCCATGAGCAACTGTTTCCTTAGTCTAAACAACCATATCAAAATAACTCATTCCTTTTACATATTCAAATTAAGGAATTATATCATTCCATTAAGTATATGCTATATCTACCAATCCATCTGTTTTTGTTATACGTACTAAACAAGCAAATAAAGATCCTCTAGGTAAAACCTCAACTGCGAAAGTATCAGCTACAATTCTTTCAAATTTAGCATAATCATCTGAAATTAGAGTTGCTCCTACAGACCAAGCAAATACCCAGACATATATTTTTTCTATATGTTTTTTAGATATTTCATCTCTTAAATTGCAATTCAATTATTAATTATAAAATTGGATAACCATTCTCAAAATCTTAATTAATCCAACTGCCATTTAAGTTTCTGAAACAGGAATTAATTATTTGCATTACTTTATAATTTAAGTTATTGATTTATTAAATGAAACTTTTATTTATACTAATAAATGATCTATTATATCTCTACTAAGAATATCTACTAATGTCATTGCTTCTGTTACTACTATAGGTTCATACCCTAACACTTTATCATCCAAATATACCATTCCACATCTACTTACGGTTGCAGGTGATGCCACTGCCAAATCCAATACTTCAAAAATCATTCTCATTTATGTTTTTAATTTTATACGCTCACCATTACTTAAACATAAAGTCATCGAATCATCCAATACTGTATTCATATTTTCAATCCATAAAGCATCTACTGGACCATCAAATACAACCCATTTCTTCTCTAGTGTCTCTGATGATGCATATCCTCTCATTATATTAGATGCTAAACCATCTGTCCATTATTATGTCATCATATCAAATTAACCATATAATTCTTCCATTGATATTGCTTTAGGATTCAAAATCTAATGTTCTACATTTTAATATGTTGCATGATTCTTTATACCCTTTATAGAATACTACTCAAATAATTTTATGTAAGATTCTCTTAATACATTCTGAACCTAAGATTTTCCACCCATTGTCACTCCTACCAACATTACTCCAAATCTCACTTTCATTGTTTCATGAAACTGTATTATCTTCTCAATAAATGTATCTTATTACTATAACTTATTTAAATCTATAACATTCTTTATAGCTGTTTCTAATTCTTTATTCTGCACATTTGGAATCTACATTCCTGGAAATAGATCACTCACTATTGCATTAAATAATGGAATATCATGAGATAAAAATTTTGGTAAATTACTTTCCCTCATTGCTCTTATCAATACAATATCTTCATTAATATTTGGCTCTGCTCTTTTTAATGATCCAGCCATTACTAAAACTGATTTTACTGCTCTCATACCAAAATCATAATGATCTTGCTGGCTCAATTATTCTGAACTTAATTGATACAATTTAACCATCTTTCTTGATAAATCTTTGGCATTTGAAAATCCTTCAGCAAATAACATAATTTCAGCAATTAATCTATAATCTGGAACCATCATAGCTACTGGTCTGAAAAGAACTTTTAAATTATCAGGTAATTCAGTTCTACCAGCATAACCAGGATTCATTGTAATAAATATTCCCAAATCAGGATTCAATTATACATTTTTACCAAAGAAATAAAAGTTCATTTTATATTCTAAAAGTGCTTCTCTTATAGTTTAAACTTATTATGCAATGACTGATAATACTTCAATATAGATTCTATTAAATTCATCTAAACAAACCCAAGCTCCACAATATGCTAATCCTGCAAATAGTTTTTCCATCATTTTAGCTGTAATTTAATCAGAACAATTGAATACAATACAATATCTTCCCAAAGCTTTAGCTAAATCTTTACATGATTCTGTTTTACCAGTACCAGCAGGTCCTTATGGTGCTGCTCCTAATTTGATACCCAAAGCTCCAGTTATAGTCATCCAACATCTATCTGTCAATGGAGTAATAACCAATCTTGTTGTTGATCCCAAAAATTCATAACCATACATTAATTTGGCATTTACTTATTTAGCATGTACACTTTCTTCATCATGATAAAACCTCAACTATTGTTACCATTTAAAATCCATTATACCTTCCACAGATTCATTTCTCATATTATCTACTATATCTCTAAAATGAACATCCTATGTAACCAAAGCCACTAAAGTTCTTCTTTATAATTCAGTTAAATTTCCTCTAATTAATTATGTTAATTCATCAAGCATTGCTATATTTGCATCATACCAATCATCTAAGTCTCCTTCTGCATCTGCTTATAAATAGTTTTCTTCTGTTATTTTAGTCCAAAATATAGAATCAATTGTAATAATTATTTATAGAGGAAATTCAAATACCCAATCCTTTCTTTAAGTATCTTCTAATTAATATTTAATTAAAGATTATCTCATTACACCACTTAAAGAAGATTTCATTTTATCTTCTAAAGCTTTTAACCAATCTTCTACTTCTCCTCTTGCAGAATATCCCTTAAGAACTGCAACCTCTCCTTCAGCAGATATCATTCCAATTGCATTTTCTTACTAATCGAATTGAATCTTAACTAAATTTTCAAAACATTTTCTTAAATATGGTTATATAGCCTAAATATTTTTTGCATTTGATAGAATTTCTAAGAGTTCATCATTAGATAAAAAATAAAATCTTTAAAAGACATCTCTTTTCTTTTCTAAAAATTCATCCAAAGCTTTTTAAATGACATCAAAATTATTATTATTTTATCTTAGTTAATTAAAATATAATCTATTTTAATAATCATCTGCCCATCTTCTAGCTATACTACTATCTCTAGCATTCCTCATTAATTTCTTCCACTATGTATCAGCTTATTAAAATATTTTAGATTCCTTTGCTAAATTCTTAGCACTATAAGGTGAATTCAAAATAGGTTCCAAATATAACCAATTCCTTTGATGTAACATCCATTCATCAAATAACTCTTAAAAATATCTTAGTAAAGCTTGTTACTTTTCCACTTCAGTTCTGATACCTTCTACAAATCTTGATGCAAGAATGTTATTAACTGTCAATAATGTATCATCAATTTTAGATATCAGATCTTCATTATTACCTAATATAAAAACATCTTTTGATTCTCTATATGGTTATACAGTGATTACAGCTACTCTCCAAATAGATTCAACCTATTCTAACATTTTAACTAATTCTATCTCTTTTGCTGCTCTTAATGCAATCTCACTTAACTTATCTTTCACTTAATCTAATCCAACCTATGTTATCCATTAAACATTATATTTAGGATCATTCACAGGTGTAAATGGTTCTAAAATAGGATCTTTGAATAATGATTAATTTTCTAGTATCAATGATCTTATCTGATTCCATTACTTCTCTGAAATTGCAGGGTCTTTTAATGCTTATAATACTTAATATACTCCTCTAAAACCTTCAATATCTGATTTAAATACTCTAGCTACTTCATTTTTATCTAGTTCTTTGGCGCATAAATTTGCTGCTTTTTATAATTTCTCCATTAAATTATTCATATCATCTAAATTTATGTCTGTATAATGTTATTTTAACCAAATTGAATAGTTTGAAATCCATTCATTTCTACCACACCACAATTTTTCTAATAAAGTAAATTCATTATTAAATGCTTCCAATTTTTCAAAAGGTGTATATTCCATATTTAAAGCAATTTGATAATCATTCAATTTTTTTCCATGGATCTTAAGTTCATCAACTTACTTTCTAATTCCATTTACAAATGTAACCATATCACTCAAATCTGCAGCTAAAGAACTTAAAGGTTACTCTGACAGTCTCTCATTTAAATCTTTTACTGTACTATCCACTTAAGGTATCATTCTTTCCATATCCTTTCTAAATTTATTTAAATTCTAATCATAATTAGCCATAGCATCATCCACTTTTTTACGAAGTTAACTTACTTATTAGTTACATTCTGCAAATTTCTATTTATGTTTATCTTAAATTTTAATACGTAATTCATCCATAAGTAAAGCCATTGCTGTAACTTCTTATGATACGTTACTTAAATCTTCAAATTAATTGTTGATTATATTTACAGCTTCCATATAATTGACAAATTACTCAACTGTAATTGGTAAAATTGCTATAGTTGAATATAATTATGCAGTTTTTTAAGTAAAGAGTACTGCCTTTTTGTACATATATTCTGGAATAAATTTCTATAATTCCAAGATGCAATTCATAGCACTTGATTTAATTTTGGCTTTCAATTTTTAATTGTCAAACATTATCATTCCTATCTCTTAAGTAGGTTCTATATCCTAAAATTGTTGATCTTATTCTTTATATTAATTGATGGCATTTCTATATTCTTCAACTTCCTTATCTGAAAATTACTTTTCAATATTGACTCCTGTATTCTCAACATACCATTTCATGAATGGTTTCAATTTTTCAGCATATGATTCTAAATAATCAAATGCAATTTCTAATTCTTTCCTCATTTGACCACATAAAATCTAAAAATTCTCGCATCCATTTATTATTGCTTTAACATCCACTTTCTCTGACTATTAATTACTTTCATCTTAAATGTATTATTATAATTCTGGCATTGATAACATTTCTCTATGTCTAGTAGTTATACGAATAACACTATTATTAACAACACTTTCAAATATTCTAAATAATTATTCTCTCACAGGATTAAAAACTATTTCTTCTTATTTTCCTACTGCCTCTACAATAATCCAACATTAAGGTTAACCTTTACCATAATATCCTTTCCTTTTCACTCCAGAACTTTCTTTATATTATTCATTGAAATCTTTTATCTATTTGACAATATGTTCTACTGAATTTTGCATCATTTATAGTTTAGCATCAATAATGATATAATCAACATATTTTACAAATTTTCTTAACCTTTTATAATGAGTTCTAATTGTTGCCTCTGTTGTGTATGGCATATCTTTTCCAGATTCATCTCCAACCAACAAAGGGGCTCTTTCTTCATTGTCATCTTCATGAAGTGGTATACGATGAATTTCTTTAAAATTTACTAAAGATTTCTAACAGCATTCTACTATGATTTATTTAATCTATTATTCATATGTATCAAATTTTATATCCATTATTGACATTAAATGTTTATCTTACAATTATTTAAAATTATCATGACTCTAAGGTACTGTTGTTGATGTATCTAAAAATCTTATATCTGAAGCCATTTGTTAACATATTCTACGAACTTCTAATAATGTTATTCTTAATTATTTGTCAGTTGAAAACATATTAGAAATCATCAAATCTTGATTCTTTGCAAGAATGTTTTTTCTCATCAATCTCTTCCATAAAAAGAAATTCTTCCATAATTTATATTTTCTAAAAAAATCGATTTTTTAAAGATCTTAATATAATTTAGCTTCTCTTTGCCATTCTTCAATAGTAAGAAATGTAGCCTCATCATTTTGAAAATAGGTGATACCCCTTGCACTAATTGTCATATATTCTTTTGGATTTCTATCCTCAAATTCTACTATTTAATAATCATAAGCATGATCTCTTTTATTTAAATAACAGAACTCATCAGCCATTTCTGGATCAGTTCTTATTAAATAAATAAAATCCATAGGTGACAAATATGATTATGATTACTATTTCTTTTTGGGTTTTCTAAGTGCCTTCTTTAATATCTAAGTTTCTTTCTTTTTTTCAGGTTGTTAAAGTAATCCAATAATTGAATCATTAATGGTGGAATTAGGATTTTGTACATCCTCTAAAATACTCATTCCATGATCACTTAATAATCTTTGACCTAAAGGAGACAAATTTTTTGGTTTCTTTAGTTAATCTTGTATTAGAATGTCGCTTCTAAAATCTTTTGTTATATTAAATCATCATTTACTTTTTGTAGATTGATGTCCTGAGCGATCTAGTAAAATTCTGCCATTTTGAATGGTTACACCTAAAGCTGAATGAGTTTAGGTTGTAGGCTCTAATCTTTATTTAGAAACCTTCGGCACTAATTAAGGCAATGAGATTGCCGAGAGCTGTTAAGTATATTTTCGTTCATTTGGATCATAACGATTAATATTTTTATATAGACGTCCTTTGAGCTACCCTTATGAAAGTTGTTCAAAATTGAAACGTTTATTATTGTCACTATCCATAATAAATAATTAATATATAGACACCTATTCATAAATATTTAAATATGTTAATATTAATAGAGACTCTAACTATATTTGCTCTCTTTTAAGTTGTTAATACCAAGACTCTTATTAAAATAGATAATATTTATCATTACTTACAAAATGAAAAATAAACTTAAAAATATTAAGCCATTCAATTGCTACATAAACAAGGATTATACCATTTGCATTCCAATAATATGTAAATATATAAAAGATATCTTAATGCAAAAAGATAGCCATATCACTCTAAGAACCATTAGAATTAAATTTAAGCCAAGCTCTTGTTACTTAGCAAATATTCGAAGGCATTAGATATTAATTACTAAATCTGATGAAAAATTAATGGATAGAGTTAAATACACAATTTGGAATTAATAATAAATCCTTTTTAGAAAAAAGACTTCACTACTTAGAAGAAGGAAGTAATAGTTTAAAGAGATAAATCTAAATCTAATTAATCTCAAATGTTTTATTAAAAAGAGACTGATAAGTTGATGAATGAATATAAAAAAATTCCAAAAGGAAGTAGATAAACGATATGTTCTCAAGATTTTGTTTAACGAACATAATAAAGAAGGTAAAATAATAATTAAAGTTTATATTTATATCATCGAATTTCATCATTTAAGACATCTGAATCTTCATGATAGTAAATATTACTCTAAGCAATCCTACTTGAACTTTCTTCGATTATTTATTATAATACAGGATTTGGATTTAGAGTTCCTCTATGTTACAATTATTACTCTAAAACTCTTTAATCAACAATGCTTAGCAAATATTTAATTTTATCTTCAGCTACCTTAAGAGCTTGTTCATATTTTTATCGAATAACTCTCTTTTCATTCTCGAATTGAATCAATCTCTAATTATCGCTATGTTATGAATTGATTCTTGATTTATTATATATATCTCTCTTTAAGTTTGCTATTTCAATTAATAAAGTATTTATCTAACCTTCATAATTAGCCTTCATATTTGCTTTTTTTTGCACTTCTTCCTATAATTCTAAACATCTCTATTATAACATTGTAAGTTCTATATTCTATTTATGCATATCATCTTATAATTGCTTATATGATCTCTCTAATAAACTCTAAGAAGTTGCTGGAATCAATTAACCAGTTTATATTTATTAAGTTAATTAATCCAATGTATTTGCCTTCTCGTAGAGTTATCTTTCTAATTATTACAATTTAATCTACTAATCTTACAATTTGATATTCTTATCAATCAGCATAGAATTCATCTTCTCTGTCTCTATGTTATGTCTCTATAATTTCAATTTATCTATTTCATTTTATTTTGCTTCTAAAAGATTGTTTAATGTAGCAACTTAATTCTCCATTTAAACAATTGATGTAGCTACTTATTCTTTTATCTATCTCTATAGATTTATTCTTTCCACTTATATTTACTAAGCATATTTTTCTTCAGCAATCCTTATTGTATTTTCATTAATTAATCTTTAAGTATCTATCTAAGCTTAAAGTGCATCAATTTCTTCCAATTTTTGATTGAATATATTCATATAATTTACTCTAATTGTTTCTATATCATTTTCTAAAATTTCACTTTTCTATCGATATTAATCTGCTTCTCTAAAACGTTCCTTTAATTCTTCTAACTCTTTATTTCTTTCATTCAAAAAATGTAGAGCCTCTAACTTTTCAGATTTTATCTATTTCATAAAACTATCCAAATGAAAACATTTCTATCTTTCCTCTTATAATTCTTAAATTTTAGTCATCACTTATTATCTACTACTTTCACAATCTTATGCTTTTTACATTAAAAGTTAATTCAATTATTCAATTTCTCTAACCAATTATTCCATTTTTTCTTCATATCCTTTTATTGTAATAAATTAAACTCTATTGTATTTACTTCTTAAATCTTCTACTTCAATTGCTTTTTATTTTAAATTTTCTGTCAGATCTTCAAATTATTGTTTTTACGATCCAATATGAGCTTAAAGATCTTTAATCTTCTATTCTAATCCTAAACTTTTAAGTCTCCATTCTTCACATTCTATACTCTTCTATTATAAAGTTTAAGAAGATCTTTCCAATTCACTTGTTAACATTTCTATTCGATATTCAACTTCAACTTGATCTGATTATTGCATTTGTCTGTTAAATAAAATTATAAATATAAATCAAAATTGTATTTACAAAAATATATCACCCCTACAAAGGAGGTAGTTAAATACTTTAAGTCAACATTTTTCTAACTTCCTTTAAGGCCAAACGAACATCTTCTGCTTTTTTTATAACAATTGATTTCAAAATTGGTCCTAATTCAGCTAATGCTGTATCATTTTAATCACTGTACCATGTCTTAATAAATATTCCATTTTCTGGTTGATTCTAAAAATTATCAGGAACATTATCAACTATAATACATTTTGAAAGATCTCTTCCCAATCTTGAAAGATCTTTTATGAATTAATTTGAATATTGTAAAGCATGTTATCTGAATAATCTGTATGAAATATTCTTATTTTTATCAACCTGATCTAAAACCCAATTTGCATAATCAGGTAAACCAGCTGTAAATACAACTAATTCATAAAATTAACTCATCTCTTGTAAAAATTAATGAGTGAAAGGTCTAATTTGAAAGTGACCTGTCTAATCAGTAAAATGTATTAAGGTCTCATCCATATCTAAAACTAAAGTATAAGTTTTTGGATTTGTATAAGGAAGGTATGGTTAAGGAGCTACACAAATCAATGGTATTCCCAATAAACCTTAGTAGCTTTATTAAATTGTAAAGTAAAATGAAATGAACTCCTACAGATTCCTTTAGGATTCCTTTATTGTGTAATTTTACAAACTTCTTAAAAAGATGATCAAAAATTAATACAAATCTCTTTAGCTTTTTGTTAGAGATTTATAAAGGTTTAGTAATAATTCTATATTCTATTTAATATTTGTCCAAAAATCATGTTTTTTACTTAAACTATTTTTCTTATTGATATTGAATTATAACTAAGAATACAATTACAAATATAAAGGATATTCAGGTTTCTCTTTTAACTTTTCAAGTAAAATATCAGAAAGGTGACTTAGATTTTAAATATTATACAGCAATATATTCTTAATATTACTAATACTACTTAAATAGAAATGTAAATCAAAAAAGCAATTTACTAAAACAACAATCTAAAATATAAATAGAATTACTCCAACTCGTAAAATCAAAAATATTTATCTAATCTACTTGACATGTTCTTAAAGTAATTCCTCTATATATTAAAATCCAGTATCTTCAGTCAATTCCATGTATTGATTGATTTAATTTATTAGTTCTAGAGTAGTATTCTTACTTTATTAGTTTCAAACTCTTACTTTTTTCATTGAATTTAAAAGACTATTCAAGATTTCATAAATTTTAATGAAGATTCTTAGATTTTCTGCTAAAGTTTCTTCAGCATGATACATAGGTTCTAAGGTCGCAAAGGCTTTAAATAAGGAATATAATTACATTCTGATCTAGCATTAAAATCTTGTCCTTCTTTTCTATTTTTTCTTGGAGGAGTATAAGCTCTTAATTCATTTTCTGCTTAACTTATTTCAGATGTTAGTTGCAAATTTGGTTTTTAAGGGGAACTCCTTTAAAGTTTGGTATCTTTAATTTCCATCTTTTTGAAACTTAGATCTGCCTCTAATGCCTCATCCATCTTACTATCATTTAATTTTTGATTTCTGATTAGACGATTAAACTCTAATGATTTTTTTGAACTTCTAATAACAGAAGAAGGTTTAATTGGTTTCTGTTCAATGATTGGGAATTAAGATTCCCTTGGATCTTTAGCCTAAAAGAATGAATGCAAATCTACTTGTGAGATGGCTCTAGCAGGTCTTGTTTTTATTGTGGTTTAGTTTTTTCTCATAATTATAATAATTTGAAAAATATATCAAAGTGATGATGATCTTTTCTTGTTTTATACATTTTTGAATTCTATGTGTTTAAGTCTCTCCTCAATTTTGCATTTATTATAAAGACTGTAGGCAATCTCTCTTAAATTTTAAGATAAATTTGATTTTCTATGTTTTGCAGACAAAGGCATACTCATCATAGTTTATAGAGTTTATCTATTTTCTCTTGAACTTTCATAAATCTAATCATTAGCTTCAAAGTATTCCTTATAAGTAATATATTATTAGTGTATCTTCTACCATTTTTGTTCATATTTTAATTGAGAGTTAATGAGAATTTCATTAACACTTTCCAAATCCAATATTTTTCTTTCTAATTCACTCACCTAATCCTCTAAAGTTTTTGTGAGTAGAATTTCATTTTATAACTTTTGTCTACATTAAGCAAGTTCTTTTTATAATGTTTTGTTTTAATCACTCAATTAATTTAATTAGACACATAATTTATTAGGACTTGCAAACATATTTAAAGCATTTCCAGCTTATGGGGTTTAAGCTTTCTGAGAATTATTTTTAACTTACTGTTGAAGTTTAAATGCTTTGACTTCTATTTCTTCTTTTTCTTCAATTTCCTCCTACTTTTAAATATTTAACTATTGTAGTTTTTATGCTTTTGCTAAATCAAGTTTTGGTACAGGTGTATTAGAGATCTTTTAAAATTAAACGTTCACTTTAGCTGGTAATATTTCAACATAACTTGAATCATCTACTTTAGCACCAGAAATTTATTTATTTTCTTTAAAAGAGTAATTTTTAGGACTCTCATCATTACTTCTATCAGGTGAAAGTATTGGAGGAGTATAATCTACTTTATTTAATGACTATTTTTTTAAAACATCAATAAGTATCTGTATCTTATTTTTTTCATCTCTTAATTACTTATTTTCCTTAATCATTTAACCTATCAACATTCTCATTTATTCTATTTAATTCAATACAGCAAAAACATCTTCAGTAGGAGAAACCATCTTTGTTACTAATAAATATATTTCAATACTATCTTTTATTTTATCTTCTTTTTGCTCTAATATTCAAACAATTTCTCAGTCAATATAATTATTTATTGATCTTTTTCATTCAGCTTTCTTTGCAATTCTATCAATTAATTCTATCTCTCTAATTAGAGTTCCATATTACGTTGATTTGAGTCTTCACAAATTTATTCAAAGATTAAAGCCTTTATTAGACTACATTAATTACTTAGCTTCTTGCTTCATCTCTTTATTTTGCGATTGCTTCATTAAGAGCATATAATTAATTATTTTCTTCGTACAATTACGAAAACAATTATTGGAATCCTCTTTCAGAATGATTTTCATATTATTTTATATAAATATCCTCTTTTCTACTATTATTTGTACTTGGTGGCTTAATATATTGATTAAATATTACAGAATTAAATGTGCATTCTTTTTGAATTTTTATTACTTCCTTGTTTAATTACAATAGTTATCTAAGTTCTTTATTTTCTTCCTAAAGTTATCTTACTTCTTATTAAAGAAAATTCAATTTTGTTTCAAGTCCATCTTTATTCATAATATTAATAAAATAATCAATTCTTTCTCTACTTTAGCTGAATGTAATCATTAAGAATCTTTTTCAACCATCTCCAACACTCTCTTAAATCAGGTTTAGAGTTTGGAAAATGATTTTATGGATGACATTAAATTACTAAATCAACTATTGAATTAACGAACTTTGGTATTGCAGGATCTTTAATACAGCTTTCTAATCGTATTATCTCTTATTTTAAACTTTGATTTTCTTTAATCAACAAACTACTCTCAATCAATTAATTTTGAAATTAAACCTCCTTCTCTTTCAATTTTTATTCAAATTCTTTTAATCTGTCTGTAAAATTTTCTTATTGAAATTGTTTCTATTCAGGCAAACGATTCATCAATAGTTTCTAATGAGCTCTCAACTCACTTATCATCTTATCTTTGAATTCTAATTATTTTGTTAGCTAATCAACTTTCTTTCTAAGCTCATAAACTTCATCTCCACTAAATCTTTCAGCAATCGGACTTACTTGCTGTTACTTTAAATACTATGAATAGAATAATTAACTCGAGGAATTATGAGAGAGCTAACTTGTTTAACGATTCATTAAATATTTTAAGAATTTTAATATTGCTAAGGAAAGTCAAATTATAAGGAACTCAATATATTTCACACATTTTTGCTTTTTATTTTAGCCTTTATAAAAATCTTATCCATTATCTATTATTTAAATAACATACATCTTAATCTATTCAAAGTTGATTCATTAATATTTACAAAAATAAATTTATTGAGGAAATATCAATAAATATTTCTATGAATCTTCTTTTATTTATTATTTATTTTTATTATTTTTACATTTATTATTTTACTCATCTATTTTAGTAAATATACCAAATTTTCTTTATATTATTGATTGAATTAAATTTTATATCATATTCCATTCAAAATATTATTATTTATATAATAAGTAGCCATTAAATATATAAACAAATTTAAAACTTATTATTAAGACTTAATATAATTTTGCATAACTGAAAATAATAATTATTTAATGTAATAAAATAATTAGACTCATCTTATTAAAAAGAATCATTATTTGATATAGAAATCGTATACTTAAAGAAATAATTAAGAATTACGACTTTCTAAATCTAATCCTTAAATTAATTGTTCTAATAGAACTTAAACATTGCTTAATTTTAATTCTAAAAATGAGGAGGAAGATTTGAGCTTTATATTAAAATCATCAAATCAAAACTAACTCTAAGGTATTTCAAAATTGTATTAAAGCATACAAATTTCAAAGCAAAAATCCTTTTTTAGAAAAATTAGAAAAAATTTAAGATTTGGTGTTTTAAAAAAAACTTAAAAATGTGTGCAAATATAATAAAAATACTAAGATACATAATGTAGCTTTACCTGTTCCTAAAGGTACATGTTCTATTATGCTGAATAAAAATAAAAATAAAAATCAAGCCTTCAACATTTCAACTTTAAATAAAAAATTAGATCCAAAAGTAAAATATAAAATGAAATGGAAGACAATATAATGGTTAATTCAATTTAGAAAAGATGCAATCAACTAAATGTTTAAGAACTATTAATATATAGTTAAATTTGCTAAATAAAAACATAAAGGTCTAACTAAATAAGACTTTTATGAATTGATGGTAGCAGTAGGAATGGGAAGTGATATAAATTTATTAGATAAACTATTTTATGTTTTTGATGAAGATTCAAATGGAACTGTTGATTATAAAGAATTAATAATAGGTTTAGAGATTTTTAAAGAAGACTCAATTGAAGAAAAAATAAAAGGTAAAGTTCTAAATGTATCTAGTATTTTTCGATATTTGTGATGCAGATGGTAATGGAAGTATTACTGAAAAGGAGCTTTATGATGTATTAAAAACAAATATTGTGGCTTTTCATGATAGAATTAAATTGAAAAAAACTATTCATTAAATATTTATTGAATGCGACTAAAATGGAGATGGAGTTCTTGACAAAGAGGAAATATTAGAAGCATCAAAGACAAATGTTACTTTGAGATAATTACTATAATAAAGCATTAATGATGTAAAATAGATTGATAAAATGATTGAAAATGATCTTAAAGAACCATTTAATGAATGGGTTCCTGCTTCAGCCAATTTTATTAATTATAAAGAAGGTATTTTTTATCCATACAATGATAAAATTATCTAAGCATTTAAAGAAATGGAAGAAGTAAATATTTTTTCTATTCAAGATTAAAACCAGTAATTCTAATTTTTCAATATTTTGACTCTAATCAAATGTTTAAGATCTAAACTAATTACAAGTATGATAAATATATATTAATTATGATGATTTAATATCTGATATTCATTCTTCACCTCCACGATTTGATAGTTTAGATTTGCTCATATCTGTAACAATTCTGTGTGAATTCATTGAATGTTTCTTCTTTTTTTCTTTTTCTATTTCTAAGAGTTACTATTATCTTTTTTCTTCTGCTTCTTTTCTTAATTATTCACTCATTTTTATCAAATGCTCTTTTTCCATTTAAATCTATTAGCTTTTAATTAAGTCTTATTTAATTCTTTATTCTAATTATTCTTTTCTAAGTTCATCTAACTATTCACGTCTTTATAAATTATCTTATTTATCTAATTCTTTAATAAATGCAAATGCTAATTTTCTTGTTAATTCTTCCTATTTTTCTTTTTCAATTTTTTCACATTTAACTTTAGCCTAATCTAATTTCTTTAATAATTATTGTTTATGTTATTCAGCTTATTATTCATTTCTTATTAATACTTCTTGAATCTTTCTTTCTTTCTCTTAAAACAATTTCTGTTTTTCTATTTAATATAGTTTTTACTCTTCTTCTTATTTTTTCTTTTTTAATTATAATTCTTATTATTTTTTTTCATAATCTAATACTTTTTTTTTCATCTATTCTTCATTTTATTTAATGACTTTATTTATTTCTTCTTATTTCATTTCTCCTTCTTTTTCTTTCTATCTTTTATATTCTTATTATTATGTTTCAAAAAATAATCTTTATTATTCTACTTCTTATTATTTTTTTTCATAATCTAATCTCTTTTTATTTAATTATTCTTCGTTTAATTTTCTAACCTATTCTAATTTAGCCTCTTATTCTAATCTTTCCTATTCTGCTTTCTCTATTCTTTTTTATCTATCTTCTTCAAATTTTTATGATCTTCTTAAATCTTTCTCTTGTAAATCTTTTAATCTAATATCTTAAATTTCTTATTATCGTTATAAAAATTATTCCCTATCTTATTAAATTTTTTTTTATTTTTCCAATCTTTGTTCTTCTTTATATTTATTTTCTTCTTTTCTTTTTCTTTCTAATTCTTCTTCTCTCTATTTTCTTTTTTAATCTTTAATTTTGTATTACTCTTCTAATTCTAATTAAATTCTTTTTTCTTCTTCTTCTTTTTTTCGTCTATCTTCTTCTAATTATAATCTTTTTTTTTCAGCTTATTCTTTTTACCATTATATTTTTAAGTCTCTTTATTTTTCTTTTTCTTTAATTCTTTTTTCTTTTTCAGCATTATATCTGGCCAATTCATCCATTTTCTATTCTGAATTAATTATTTTTTCTATTTCTAATTCTTACCTTTTACGTATACTACTTAATAGTTTCTCTCTTTTATCAGCTAAAGATGAAGTGCTTCTAAAGACACTAGAATTAGTCATCTAATTTGGCCATAATCCTTATGATTCTTCTTACAAGATTTTTTGTCTCATTTGACGAACAACTTAAATCTTCTGTCGGCGTTTTTCCTCAAAATGATCGAATACCATTTATATAACTTCCTCGTTTGCCAATTAGCCTTTAGAAAATCAATCTTGTTTACCTGATGGATCTTTTTATTTTAGCATATAGCTAATCAGGTCTTTGCCTTTTTATATTAAGTCTTCCTTCTTAAATCCTTCTCGTTTACATGCATCTTTCATTCTTGGAGTAAATGAATTAGCATCGATATCTTCTTCATCTAATTATTCTTCTCCTTCTGGATTTACTTCTTATTGCTATTTATTATTTTACTACTCCTTAGTTTACTTTTAAGGAGAATTTTCTTATAATTTAGAGTTAGAATTTTATTATTAAACATTTTTTTCAGTCTCTTAAGGTTCAATTTATTGATGTTCTTCTTCAGTTTCATTATGATTATCTCCTTCTTAATTATTTTCCATTTGTATTTATTAATATAAATTTAAAATAAAAATATTCAGTTTAACTTAGAAAGTATTGAAACTCTTTAGATATTCAATTTCATTCTCAGATATCTTCATAAATGATAAATATTTACTAATATTAATAATTCGAAGAAGAAATATATATAATAAGAGTAAATATTCTTGAAGACATTAAAGAGATAAAAATTGAATGAAGATATAGAGAAATATATTCATATAAATATGTTAATAACATTGATTTTTACTTAGATAATATAAATAAATGAATTAAAATTAAAACTTTACAAGCAATTTGAATCTCTTTCCAGAAATAGGTACACATGGTTCTAGAGGAAAGGTAATTATGATATAAAACAATAGTAATATGGTGGTAACAATATTACAATGAGAGGAACTGAAATATTTGAAGGTTTGACAACTGGAAGACCTTCTAAAAATATTATATAAGCTCATTTCAAAGCTTTAAGATTTTATAGAAAAGTGTGTCGTCTGATTCCATTTTTATTAAGAATACATGATATGGAAGTCACTTGCAATTCTTAATAAGCAATGCTTAATGTTGCAAATGTTATGAGAAAAAGAGCATACCTTAGAGATCCTGATGCTGTTGATAGATGGGTATTATTCATATATAAGAAACATAGGTTTATCGAGGATATGAATTATTGTATTAAGCAGAATGGCATATGTTAAATAGAGATCATTTATTCCAATACTTTGCTAATCAAAATAGATCTGATGCTGGATATTCTTACTTAGAAAATTAAAAGCTTAAAGGAAAGAGTGAATTCTTAAAAGATTTCTATATTGGAAATAAAACATATGAATATTGAAAACATATTCAGCTAAAAAAGAACAGCATAATTATACAAAACAAAACTATATAATTTTAATAATAATGTATAATTTTATTATCTTGTATCATCTATTCAATAATATATCAAGGATTAATCTGTGGATCTCCTTTTAATGTTTAATTCAATTATTCTAAGCTCAAAAAACCTGATTCAGATCCATTTTGTTTAGGATCCGATTATTATTATGAACCACTCCCTTAACTCTACTATTTCTCCTATTTTAATTTATCAAGATTTAATCTATGAGTATTTCCTGGAGTGTATTAAGGACTAGATTTTCTACTACCTAGTTTAGAGCTTTATTAAGATAGCCGAATAGGTCTTTCTGGACTCCAATCTTTAAATGTTTAAGGTTTTGATCTATATTGAGTTAATTTAGAATTCTAAAAATCATCTAATTTATATCTTATTTATATATTTTTAATACCTTATATTTTGCACTCTTTTAGATATATTTTAAGGTTCTGATTCCAATTCCTATGGTTCTCTCTTCTATTATTAATTTTTAAAATATTTTTTAAAATTTGGAAAACCAGAAAGTCCTCTTTAATCACTCGAATATGATGGTCTATCATAATCTTTCACATATCTTGGTTCTTTTCTTTATTATTATTATTCTCTCTCATTTTAAAATAGATCTGAAATATATGATTATAAATCTCCTCTCATTCTATTTGATTTATGAGATCTTCTTTCATTTTCTCTCTCTTCATTTGGACTCCTTATTTATTATTATTATTATTAAGTCACTGGTGGATTCTTTAATAATTATTAGCCTTTAGTAGGAGAAATTTAAACTTGAGATTCATATATGTAAGATTGTTTATTTTGATTAGCTGCTGATAGTCTACTTGTTTGCAATTGAGAACTAGATATATTTAAACTTATTTTGCTTTTTTATAAAGTATTTGTGGAACCATCTAAATAACTAATCTTTTTCTTCTTATTTTATATTTGACTATCTTCTGATCCTTCAGCATTTTATTTTTATTATAATTTGCTAATCTATAATTCTGGAGCTTTAATTTCAGACTTTTTTTATAAAATCTTATTGAAACATTCAGATTCATTTTAAATCACATCTATTTTCTCTTTCTATTATTGTTAACTTCCTTAAACTAATGTATCTAATTTTTCTTATAATTATTCTAAATTATCACAATTTTGAATTATGTTTAATATTTTTTTATTTTTCTATGCTTCTAATTGTTTGATTCCATCTTTATCTTTTTATTCCAAAATATTTAATAATTCAATCTTCTCTTCAATCATTTATATTTTGTGTTCATTTTATTTTGCTTAGTATTCCCATTGTTCCCAACATTTTATAAAATTATCCTCATTTAGAGTTGTATCTTTAAATACTACTGTCCTAAAATAATAAATTTATTATATACAAATCTAATCCTTTTGAATAATCTGCAAAATCTTCTATAGATAATATTTCTTTTCCTTCTTTTTTTAATGCTTTGAAGGCTTCAGAGGGATTCTTAAATTTTGAGCATAAATTCTTTTTTAAAGAACACCATATTTTGAGAGTTGTTTAACTGGCTTCAATATCTTATTTTTATTTAGTTAGCTGCTCTATTTCAGACATAAATTTTATTGTAAAATATTTGTATTTATTTAAGAGCTATATTTATTTCTTTCAATAAATGTTTTTATCTACACACTCTTAAACATTCTACTTTCAAATTATAAAATGGATATAATAGATGAGATAGAAAGAATTAAAAATGATTATTGTCACTCCTTAGATTATTGCTTAAAATTATATATTATTCATAATAAATGAAAAACTCTGAATTAAACATTTATAGTTTTGTTCATTAGATTGGCATAACACAAATTTTCTAAATAACTTAAAAATTAATGGAATTTAATATAAAAATATGAAAGTAAAATAAATACATTCAGAATAAATTGATTTTAATGAATCAAATAAAATATTGAACTAGTTAAGATTATAAATAGATTTTAATTTGAATTTTAATAAAATTAATAATATTTATAGATATAATTAATATGGAAAGGATTCAGAATAAATAGATTAAAATTGAAAATTTTAAAGTAAATTGATAGAGTATGAATAAGTTATTAAATTAAAGAATATGAATCAGGTTCAGATCAAAGAGAATGCTATAAAAAGAAAATAAATCAAGTTAAAATCAATACAATTTAGCATTTATATAGACTTATAAATTTTTAATTTAAAAAATAAAAGTATAGAATATGCAGTAATTGTTAATTCAATGTTATTTTATGATTTATCTTTAAAAAAAGTAAAAGTAATATAAACTATAAATTTATTATATAAAATTATAATATAAATGTTTTCAAAGAGTGATCGTATTTGTTTTTAGCCTACTTACAATCCCCCTGTTGGTTACTATGAAATAAACAACTAATAATATGCAAAAGGAATTGATTTTTCAAAGTCTATACCAAGAAATCTAAATAATGGACCTAGTGTAAGCCCTTAAAATTAAAATAACAATTTACCAAAGGTTTCATTAGCAAGTCCGTAATTATCAGCATATGCGAAACCAGGAGAAAGATTAAAGATGGAATAGAAATATAAAAAACATGAAAGAAGAAGTTTCAGTTACTCTTAACATCCTGATATTTCAATTAACAACTTTGAGAGATTACCAATTAAATAAAAAGGCAAACGACTTAAAATAGTTTATTAAAGGCATTCAACAGATTTAGAAAATTAAATAGAGGAATCAAAACAATTGTAAGTCTAAGGATATTATAATTCAAGAGCATAGACACCTCTTACAGGATAGTCTAAAAAAAGGAAACCTAAAAGTATGATGTTTAATTATTATTATTGAGCTCATAGGAATATATTTTCTTTATTCCCTTCTGATAGTTTAGAATTAGCATAACAAAGAGAGAAAATGAAAGATAAACCAATACCTCCTCCTGGGGCTTACTACAATGAGTTTAATAATTCTTCTATAAAGGTTGAAAAAATACCTTGGAGATTTCAATGTTTTTCTTCAACTGTCAGAAGATTTAGTTAATAACAATAGGATATAATTCCTAGTGTAGGCTCTTATGAAATCAAAACTAAAACTAAAGCTATAGGTGTTATTTCACTAGATAAATATAGTTAAAGAAAAGATAAATTTTACAATTTTCCTGGAGTTGGCACATATGATGTTGATTAATCATTTACTTAAGCAAAACCTCAATAAAAATAATAATAAGATTTTCCATGTCCATTTGGATCAAGTGGTAAGAGATTTTGATTAGATTATTATTATTATATTTATTAAATGTCTAAATCACCATATATTCCTCCTGAAGTAAAAACATATATTGAACAATACAAAATTGAGGAAATTATTAAAGATGCAGTTAATACAATACTTTCATAAAAACCAACTGATCCATATACAACATTTTCACAATACTTTGGAAAAGTAACTTAATATTATAGATTCAGTTATCAACTCCTGTTATTGAATTAGATGATATTACAGGTTTAGAAATATTAAATAATGAATTAAAGTCAAGTATTCAATTGATTTTCACAGTCTAATTCAAAAATCAAAAATTACATTTTAATTCTCCATTATACTTTTCTTAATCTTATCCAGAATAAGAAATATTTTAGTAAAATTATTATTAATTTAAGTGATGACGAATAAAAAAATATGAAATAAGCAATTTAAGAAATATAAAAGATATCTTAATAATTAAAAGGAAAAAAATCAAAAGATCAAAAATAAATTGATGAAACTTTAATGAAATATCTTAATGAACATCCAGTATATAATCTTATATATTTTAGAATCGAATAAATGTTATTTAGCAAATTTCATTTAGTATAATTCCTTTGCATGCTTACTTTATGAATTAAAATTTATCAAAATTACTTTGTCAATAATTTAATACACAAGAAACTAAAACACCTAAACTTTTTGTAAATTTACTATAAGGTAGTAAAGTAGTTACTTCTAAATGTAAAGTTTATAAGTTTTTATTAATATGTGATGGAGAAGGAGCCTTATAAAAAATTTAAAATGTTGTAAACAATGTTAGAAAAACTATTATATCAGGTAAAAAAGGAGAGGCAGGTTTATAGTTTTATTAAGATGGTACATTTATTTGTCCAGGTGATACTATACCAGATAATCTTAAGTTAATTGAATAGGCAATAGATGCAGCTCAATTAAAAGATCAGGTTTAACTTGGTTTAGTTTGGTTAGCAGAATTATTTTATGTTCCAGAAGAAAAAAAATATGATCTAGACAATCCAAAAAAATTATTAGATGCAGATTAATTAATAGATTATTATTTTAAATTATGCTAAGAAAAACCTATTATTGTTTATTTAGAGGATCCTATTCATCATTCTGATATTGTAGGTTGGACGAAAATAACTAATAAATTTAAAGAATCTAAAGTCAAATTAGGTAGTAGAAGATTATATTCAAATATTGATAAAGCAAAAAAACATTGTGAAGTTTTAAGTCTATAAACTAATCCTGAATTAACTGAATAATAAATAAACCAGCTAAATAATGAAAGAATACATCTTGATTATATTTATAAGCCTCTTTATGAATACAATACTTTTACAGAATTATAAAATCATATAAGTTATTTGATATCTAAAGTAATTTTTAATCAAAAATATTTAGAAAGCTTCATTATAAATTATAATTGGTGATTCACTTATTGATACCGAAGACTCTTATTTTGTTGATGTCGCTGTATTCTTATTTTATAAAATAGTTTTCGCTTCCAAATTCTAATATTAATATTGGTCCACCAATCAAATATGAAAAAATTATTAAATACAATAAGTTTTTAAAATTATCCCATGAAAATGATTGATTCATATTTAAATAAAAAAATATAAATAAACTTAATTAAATCATGATAAGTTTTCCAATGTTTGCAAAACAAAATAATTATTTTCCATAACCTTTTTATGAAACATCTTTAAAGTACCAATACTACATTTTGCTTATTAAGCAATTACTGAAGGAATTATTCCTCCTCTACTTGCAAAAATAATATCACCACTATATTTAACTATTGCAGCAGCAATAACATTCTCATGTTCTCCTTGTATTAAATTATTCTATTGAATTTTGTTAAATACTTAGGTACAGAAATGAATAAATCTATCATTAAGTCCTAATTTATTTGAAATTGATTTTATAAATGCCTAAACAACTGGTTCTAATTTATAATTATTGTGAATTTTGAGTAATATTTTTTTAATTAATTTTTCTGAGACTGAAATTTTAGCTAAAATTTCTTTTTGAGTGATTGGGATACTAGTTTATTTTATGGCAACAATTAATCCTGCAATAGCAATAGCAATGGCGCTGTATTTTTTTTATTTGAGTTTAGATAATAATTAAGGTTATAATAGCTGAATTGCAATTTTTAATAGATCTTCATTCAAACCTAAATAAGAAATTTGATTTTTCATTTCTTCAATAATTGCTGATAACTTTTTACGATCAAAGTTTAATTCCTAATTATTTTCTGAGGAAGTGTCAGAATTATTATCCTATGTTATTTAAAGACAATTAGAATCTTTAATTTACTATTCAATCGGAACTATTATAGGAGTATTAGTATCAGATTCATTCAAATTAAATTTTGGAACTGGAGGTCTTATAATTCTAATTTTAATGTTCATTTTTGAAGCAAGTGTGAAATAAATAATTTTAAAAGAGTTAGAATTAACTCCATTTTTTATATTCATTAACTCAAACTTAAGTCAAATTTTATCCAAAACAGCAGTAATCAATATTTATTATTTCACAAAAAATGATCAACTATTAATTGTATAGATCAAGAATCTGAAAACAGTTAAACTTAATTATGTTTTTATATATGTAGATGAAATAAAAAGTTTAATATTTCTTTTATAGTTTTTATTTCAAATTTTCAATTTTAAAAAAACATATATATGATAATTTATCAATTTCCCAGCAAAATAAACTAACGTAGAGAGTAATATAATATTTTTTCAGATTTATCACTTTTTTCTATTATTAATATAGATATATATTTGAGGGAAACAATTTATTTTTAAATTGCCTCTCATAATGATTAATTAATCTTGTTATAATTAACCATTATGATTGACAGTTTAAAAATTTGTTTTTTAATGATTATGCCATTTAATTATATAAGTAACTTAATTTAATAATAAATGAATGTATAATTGAACGATAGGCATATTACATAATTAGAGGAATTAGAATCTTTAAAAGGAAAGTTGCAATGTCCGTCACATAGATCTCGTAATCTTTCATCAGATAGATAATACACACCCTCTTTAACAAATGATTTTAGAAGCACAAGAAATAGTGATTAATAGAAGGATTCTTAATCAGTTGAAAAATGTATTTGATTGAAATAACAATTAGTTTTGAATCTCAAATAGTAAAATTAGAATGTTAATAATCTATCTCAATTATGGAAATAATAAAAGTAGTGCATATCACTTACTTAAAGCTTGCATGCGCAAAATTTAACATGTATATTCGATTAATGTATATTTTAGAAGAAAAATAAGAGGTTGAATAGTAAGTACCTAAGTATACTCATTTAGTAATAGAAGAAGAAGAAAATTTAACTACTGAATAAGATCTTACTAAAAACAAAGGAGTTTAGGCAGCCAATAATGTAAGAGTTAATGGCAAATTTCCTGTTACAACAAAATAAGGAGGATAAAAAAAAAATTAATAATAAGTTCAGAACATTTAGACTAGTAATAATTAAGGATAAAATAAAAAAATAAATAGTAATTATAACACTAATAATAATACCATTCGTCCCCAAACTACAAAATCTTAAGTATAAGTACCTTAAACGCCTTTAACATAAAAAAAAACTGTTTAAAAAAGTAACACAAAGTCTTTTTAAGATCCATTTTTAGATGGTATGTGAATTAATAAATTAGTACCATAAACTCCATCTTAAAAATAAAAATAAAATTCCTTATTAGAAAAAACTAGATAAGGAAAGGCAAATCAAGCAATAAATAAAGTTATTACTAAAAAAATTCCAGATGAAGATGAAAAAAATTTAGTTTCTTAATTAGCAAGATTAAAAGAAAGTGTGACAAAGTTATATGATAATAGATTTGAGAAATAACTAGGTCATTCTTCTTAATTTATTGAAAAGTAACCAATTTATGTTTATTTAGAAATTTTGATTAAATAATCAACACACTTAAATTGGATTTTAGATACCTTGAAAATGATATGTGAATTATATATATCATTCAATATCTTTGATTAAACTTTTAAAAATTTAATAATTAATATTCACAATATTAATTGTTCATTATTAAAAATATTTTACAATCTTTTTTTGTATTTTCAATATATATTATCTAAATAGTTAAAAAACTTATTAAATTAAGGATATATATAAAATATTTATAATTAAGAATATTTTAAATGAAAACTCTGAGGATAAACAATCAATATATTTTATCTAGAAAAATTGCATCTGGTGCATTTGGATTTGTAATGCTTGGTTTTGATCAAAAAACAGGATAATAAGTAGCAATAAAAATTGAGAAACCTGAAAATGAACATATGAGATCACTAGAAAAAGAAATAGAAATAATAAAAAGATTGGAAGGTGTTTAGGGAGTACCAAAAATGCTTTATTTTGGCAAATAAGATGAATTTAATGTTTTGGTTTTGCAGCTTCTTTCAAAAGATTTATCTTCCTTAATAAAACAATAATAGAGATTTAGCCTTAAAACAATTTTATAGATTGGGATAAAATTAGTGGAAGTACTAGATGAAATCCATTAAAAAGGGGTTTTACATAGAGATTTAAAACCAGAAAATATTATGATCGATGAGAATAACAGATTCTACATTATCGATTATGGTATTAGTAAGGTATTTATGAGAAAAAATGGAGCACATTTGTAAATATATGATATAAAAAGACCTTTTAAAGATCGATAGCCATTTATTGGAACATCTAGATATGCATCTATAGCAGCTCACAAAGGAAATGAATTAGGAAGAAAGGATGATTTAGAATCTTTAATTTACATCTTGCTGTATTTTTATTTTGGGTAAAAATGAAGATTTTCATTGTTTCAGTAAATTACCATGGCAAAACGTTAAGCATATACCAAATGACTAAAAAATAGTATAGGTTGGTGATATTAAACAAAAGTAGACACAAGAATTATTTAAAAATCTACCCGATGAACTTAAAAAGATTTATGAGTAATTTATTTTTAAATTTATAGTTATTTACGTAAACTTACATATGCTACAGAGCCAGATTATAAATCAATTGTTAAATTATTTTTATAAGCTGCTAAAAATTCTAAGATAAATATTGATTATATTTATGATTGGGATGTATAAAATACTGCTTAAACAGAAATTTTTTCTCGTTATGGAACAATTTATTTTGATGATAACTTTCAGATTGATAAATATCCATCTAATTAATAAATGTATAGATTTCACCAATTTGTAGCAATATTAAATAGCATCATATTAATTCAAATAAAAGAAAAACCTTTTGTCCTTCTTTAATGAAATAAAATTTTGATTAAAATTAAATACCATCTGATAAAAACTAAAGTGGTCATAGTGGTAGTAGCAGTCCCTTTAAAAATATTGATAAATTATGTTAATTATCAAGAGATGAAATTAGCGAAGATACTGAATACATTATTCCAGAAGAATTCTAATAAAATTAGGGATTGAGGGTGAGAACACTACCTGATTATTTAAAAAAACCTAAAATTAAACAAAAATTAACTCAAACTCTTGTTTTTGATGATGATTTGGTGTTGGACTCTGATACTCCTTTATTGGATAATTATAAAAAATTATAATCTTTGAGTAATTAAATTACTACTGTTTTTCATAATAAATAAAAGTGATAAATAATAAGTTTTATTTAAAGATTCTATAAATTATTATTTTAAATAATTAGAAAAAATTATATAGTTATTAATTATTACCAAAAAATTTTATTATGCTGCACTAGCTTTCATTTATTTAAAATCAATATTGAAAATTTTATTATATGATTTTGATGTATAACTTTATATAAAACTGTTAAGAATGGAAATTAATAAGGTACATCTAATATCAGCTAGAAATATTAAAAATCCATAAGTTAAAATTCTTTTTGTCAATTATTATATATCTAGTTATAATAAAAAAACAGTAGTGATGAAATTTACGCAATATAAGAGATTTGAAATAAATTTTTTTTTCATTATTACAACAATAAATTATTAGTTAAAATGAAAAATAGATAAAAATTTAAATTTGTGTCTTTTTAATGAGATAATCCTCAATATATATAATAGGTTGATTTTTTTGATCAACAAATAGTTGTTTTTAACTTATTTTTAATGAATACTTACTTTAGCATCACAATGATAGATCTCTTTTAAGTAAATAAAAAAAATACTTAATATTAAAATTAATGCAAAGGTTAGCATCCCTATTAATTGGATTTGGTTTAGGTATTTTTGGTATGAGTTTGTTGTATGATCCTTGGGCATAAGTATACTACAAAATCAATATAGGAACGATTTGAAAGAACAGTTAGAGAAACAGCAAGATTAGAAAACTCAATTCTTAATAGTGTGGATGTTTATTTATAGATGAGAATGTTTTTGGGATATGTATTAGTGGCATGTTCTTTTGTAACAATGAATAGGTATTATTAATTTGATTTTAAAAGGATTGGTTTACTTTATGTGCTCTCAATTCCAGCTTTATTAGTTTATGCTGCAATTAATTATAATCATGTTATATATTAGTCAGAGAGACTTGGAGGAGATTAAACAATTTAAGGAGCATTATTTTATGTTGCATTTTGTTTTGCTGCAATTGATGCATTAATAAAACCTAAGAAATTACCATAACCAACATCAACCTAAAAAAAAACAGAAAAGAAGAAAAACGAATGATTTATTATTAAACACATGTATTTTTAATGGGAATTTAAAGTTGCTTATAAAAAATATTTTCTAATTAATTCATAATTATTTCTTTTTTCTCTCTCTCTTTCTTATGATTGTATCCAAATTGTTTTGCGAAAGATAATTTTCAAAATTTTTAAATCTTTCAAAGCCTTCAAATAATTCAATATATTATCCTCTTTTTTTACCAAATTCATCATCATAATCTTATTATTCATATGTTGTTATTTTATTTTAATTTGGCATCATTGAACCTTAAATAAAAATATCAAATAAATTTTTAGCTTTTCCTTGTGTTGTTTTTGAACCTCTTCTATTCGTATCTTATTAGAATTGATCTGAACTACTTGATTATTATTTTGGATATAATAAGTTTGAGGTTTCAGACCCCTTCATTAATGAATTGAAATTCATGGTCTTTTCAGCTTCTAATTTCTATCCTTATTTATTTTCTTATTATAAAGAGTTTCGTTGTTTTTTTTTTAGATATTTAACAATTTCCTTTATTTTATTTTGCTGTGAATAATCATAATAAATTTACTAATTCTTCATCTTGTAATGCATCATTACAACCTTAAAAAGATAAAGGTCTTTTTGATTCAATTTATTGAGTGATTGTCTACTTGTATCCAACTTTAAAAGTATTAATAATTTCTTCCTCTGAATCATTCTATTCTTCCTCACCTTAAAACTTAATAAAACTAAAATACCATTTTTATTTAAAGGTTCATCTATTAATTTGTTTTTGCATATAAATAGTAAAATACTGTTTTTAACATCATGAGATTCTAATAAGGAATCAACTCTTCTATTTAAACTTCTCTTATAAACACCTCTATCAGAAGGAACATTTCTTCTATAATTTAGTAGAACTTTTGATCTATTTGGATATCCACAAACTAATGGACATTCTCTAATTATATGCGATGTTTTATTGCATGCTCGACATGAAACATCAACAATACCCTAAGCATTTGAAAATGTTACTTAATCTCTCATTTAACAAAATGTTGACTAATTAAAAAATCATTTAATACATAATCTTTTGAATTTTGCTATAATAAATCAATAAATTAATTTCTATGAATTTTGAGTAAATATGTAAATTAAGTAGATTTACATGATACTTAATAATTCTATTTTTCAAAGAACTCAAGAACACCAAAAGGTTATGAATCACCAGAATATGATTCTAATACTTTTTATGATTCTTGTTTGTTGTTTAAAGTAACATAAAATTATACTTCTCCTTTTTAGAGTATGTATAGATAATCACTTACTTCATTTTACTAGGGTATATATATTAAATACTTTATATATAATCTATTCAGGGGCAAATTTCTCTTCAAGCAAATTCTTTGATAATTAAATTAAAAATTAATCACTAAAATTGTCAGTCAAAAATTTAATTTTCTTAACAATTTTCATATTGATATCAATTTTCATTTCTTCTTATAATTAAATTGGAATTTATTCTGCAAATTTAAAGGCTTCTCTATCATTTTCTTCTTCAGCATCACACCAAACATATTCAAAATACTTTCTTATTTTTTCAGCTAAATGTTTATCTAATCCCTTTAATCTCATATATTTCTTAAGATCATTCATATTCTATCTAAATTCATATGTCTTTCTACTCCAATCAGCATATATATTATTTATATTACCAATTGAGTATCCAAAAATACCAACAGCAGCGACAGTCATACCAATAGTAAATATTCTTTCTCTTAAATTTTATGGAGTTATATCTCCATATCCTATAGTTGTCATTGTTACTATGCTAAAATAAAATGATGTTAAATATTAATTAAGCCAAGGCTGATCTTATAAATCATTTTTTATAACCCAAGTATTTGTATCATCTCCAGTAGTGCCAACTAAAAACCATAAACATGCACAAAAATGAGCAACTGCTAAAATAGTGTACCCTAATTTAACTAAATCAAAAATAGCAATTTAACTTGATGTGAGTTCAAGTCTATCAAATAAATTCCCACTAAATTTAGTTATCTAAAAAACTTTTAAAATAAGAACTAAATCTAAATAATCTAATTGAAAACGAAGACTTAAGAAAAACGGTATGATAACAAAAACATCAAAAAAAAATGCTACATATTATTATTTACATTATTACATGTTCTTAAATAATTTTTGGCTATTTGATATCTATTTTCGATAACTGTACCTTTATGATAAAAACAGGTATTAAATTTAATTAATATTTCTAAAATAAAAGAATACGAGGGGAGAACATCAAATAAAACCCATCTAAATTATTAAAAACTATCATCAAGTGAGTTATTGGTATCAAATTTAAACGCGACTCTCGCACTAACATATAACACATTCATATTTAAAATGGTTAGTATATATATATTCCATGCTATTGAAGTAATTGATTCAGGGCGTAATATTAATTTATTTTTATTTAAATAATTATAAACCTTCATCTTTCTAAGAGGGACAAATACTTATTGATTTAATTAATATTTCATTTTTTCATATGGGCTTGGTTTCTTAAATTAATTTACATCAATACTTCATATTTGAAATAATCATTAAATAAATAATATCTAAAATATGCTGACTTGTCTCCAATAATTTCAAAAACATTTCTGTTTATAAGTCTGAAGCTTGTAGCAAAGTTTGATTTGGTAATGAAACTTATAAATCTTAAAATTATCATCAAAATTTCTAAAGGGTATTGTTTCCAAGCTTGGTTACTAAATCCTTCAATTTCTTCAGCTGATTATGAATCTATAAGGAAAGGACTTTCATCTTTGTTTTTTTTGTTTTTAGGAGGTTTACCCGTATATTAAGGACCATAATGTAATAATTTAATTTGAGATCGACCTGCAATACTTCTATTAATATATATGACTATTATACAAGTTTTTACTGTCTGAAACTAAGTCGGTAGCTCTTAAAGTGTGGAGGGTTTCTTTATTAGTTTTTAAGGCTTTTTTAATTTTTTCAATAGTTTATTATTTTTCTCTTTATCCACTATCTAGTAATAGTCTACCAGATTAGCCATGTGAGGTATGATTACCTATCATTATATAAATTGAAAAAAGTTACAATTATCTTGTTCAGTTCTAAAATTTTCTAATTGATTTACCTGCATATTTGAAATAAAATTGTATATAAATATAATCTCAGTAGAAGTATTGTTGTTTCATTTTAATTAAAGTACAATGCTCAAATGATGATAATGATTATAAAGAAATAAAAAATGGAATTAATAGTTTAAGGATATTATCAAATAACAAGGATTGATAAAAATAATTAAATTCTTGGGTACGATATAAAAATATTTTTAAGTTAAGAGCATAATTAACACTTAAGTAGTCAAAATAAAAATTATAAGTTGATCCAATAGGATAGATAATAATGAACAGTATTCATTAATATATTTAAGGTTTGTATTAAAATTTGGAAGAAAATGAAAAAAGTTTATACAGTACCAACTCCAAGAGAATAGAAACCAAAAATACAATAGAAAAGTTAACAAGATGTTATGTGAGTTTTTATGAATTATGAGTAGAAAGTAAACATAATTTGCCTATATACCTGATTAACCTACTTAAAAAGAAAAATCATCATAAATGGCTCGTCCTTATTTAATGTTCAAACCTAAGTTAGTAGAAGAAATAGATGAGAACAATATGAAAAAGATGAAACTTTCTTTTCATAATTCAATAACTGACTTATAAACTTTTGAAGAATTGGCATCAGAATAGTAGCCTAGAGAATCTACTCCAAATTTAAATTAAGCTCCTTAAGAAAAGACTAAGACATTTGTCAGGTAACTAATATAGTCTATTATATTAGAAAGTCTATGAGACACTTAACTTAGCTGTGAAACAAAATAAATTTTGTGATAAAATATATATATGACTTATTTAAGTCTTTTAATATTGATTTTTACATATCCACAATTTTTTATTTAAAAAATTTACCACTAATGAAACACAATCAACAACTTCCAAATGCACATTTAAGAAAACATTGGACAAGATTTGTTAAGACATTTTATAATCAACCAGCTGCAAAAAGAAGAAGATAATTAAGAAGAAGATCATTAGCATTATGTATATTCAATATATTAAATAATAAATATAGCATCATCACCAAGACCAGTCGAATTACTTCGTCCTGTTGTTAGAGGATAGACAATTAAGTATAATAGTGTTTAAAAACTTGGAAGAGGATTTTCATTAATTGAATTAAAGGAAGCAGGACTTAATACAGCTTTTGCTAGAACTATTGGAATCTCTGTTGATCATAGAAGAAGAAATTTAAATTAAGAAGAATTAAATAATAATGTGAAGAGATTAAAAGCATATTTATCAAAATTAGTCTTATTCCCAAGAGTTACAGGTAAACCTAAAAATGGTGTTGTAAAAGATTCAACAAATGAAGTTGTCGCTTAACCAGTAGCATAAAATACTAATCCTGAGGTAATTATATTTGCTAAATTAAATAGGTAATTACATTCTAAAGAACTCCTAAAAGAGAAAAAGCTACAGTTATATCTAAAGAATTAAGAGCTAAGAATGTTTATAGAAGACTCAGATAAGAATGGTACAATGCCAAATTTGTTGGAGTTAAGGAAAAGAGAAAACAAGCAAAAGAAACTAAAAAGTGATAAATTTAATATAATACAATATTATTTATTTACAATTTATTTATTAACTTATTTAGGAACTGAGAGTGAAATGTCTACTAAAAAATAGGTTCATGGAGGAAAAACATCAAGATCAAATAGCAAATAATCAGTATCTAACCCTATGTCAGTTAGAAAACGGTTTTCATCACTAAGTTCACCGTAATTTATTTCATTTAATCTTTTTTTTAGCCCGAACAACCAAGTACAATCAACTTGCGTCTTTTGTTAGAAATTTAAAAATTAAAAAGTTGAATCATATGGTCCTCTCCTTAATAAAGCACTATTTGCTAAGTATTCTTCGTCTCAAAACTATTATTATTCAAAGGACATTAATGATATAATAGATGAAGAATCTACACCAGCTGTTGTTTTTTATAGAGATTTAGAATGTATGGTGGAAGAAGAAGAATATTTAAAGAGGTATTAATTATATCATTAAAAGATCATATGCTAAAAAAGAAACAACTTCAAAAATTAAAGCCTTGCTTGAATATTACAAATATCATAAAGATATACCTCGACTTTTTATGCAGAAGGTCTACATTACCATTAATAAGTTTCATGAAAAGAAAAGAAGAATTGAATATGCAAATATTAAAAGGAAATTAAACATCCCTGATGAAGATATAGTAATTTTAATTTCCAATATCTTAGTAGCCATCTAAAAAAAAGGATAAAAAGAAGTAAAAACACAGTGATGAAGATTTAACAGTTGGTTAGTTAAAACATCTATTAAAGGATTTGAAGTTAGATACAAATTCTTATCTCTAAAAAAATGTTGATATCTCAAGTAGTGTATAATTACGTGAATTCGTACAATAAATTGGATAAAAATATGATTATCTCGGATAAATTTCTGGTTTATTGTCTATTGATTAAAGCAATAGTTTTCTCTTAAGATCTCAAGATTTTTCAACTATTAACAAAAACCATAGATAAAAATACCTCATTAATCAAAAACCCAAACCAAATTAAAATTCTAAAGTTTAAATTTTAGATTCTAAGACTACTAATTAAATTAGTTATTAAGGGAGTCTAGATAAAATAAATTTTAATAGATTTCAATTTTATAATCAAGGAGAAGTGTCTTCTTAAAAAGCTGAAAATTCTATTAAGGCAGGAGAATAAACTAAAAGATCTAATCAAGAATAATCACCTTTAAGGAGTTCATAATAATCATAAACTATTTAAAAAGTTTATTCTTCAATGGAAGGATTTGCTAATTTTGTTTAAAAATAATAATAATCCTATTAAAAATAGCAAAAACAAAATTATGGTTAGAAGTCAAGTTCTCAAAGGAAAGTTAGTGCAAATTTCAATTCAACTGATTGCCAATTTAGGTTACCAAGTAGATAGAGTTCAACATAGAAATAATCAGCTGAATTGTAATCATATTAAGTTAATTTCTTGTAAATATTTGATATCTATAAATAGGAGAACCAGAGTAGCTTCCCAATTGTAAAAATACGATGATGATTATAAGAGTATCAAACATGTACATTTATAATCTTAGGTAAGCAACCTTTAGCAACAGATAGAATTCAAAGGTCTAGTATGTATAATGTAGAAGAAAAAAACTAACAGAAATCTTAATCTAAAAATATGTAAAATTTTTAAATAAATTTAGATAAAAAATGCCATAGAAATTTACTTAATATGCATTAGCAACATTAAGGAATCTCTAGGTGAAGAATCCTGAGGTGAAGAAAAAATAAGTTGTTAATGGAAATAATATGTAAGGGCCAATATTGAATTCATAATAATTACATTATAGAACAAAATCGTAAGATGCGGTTGTAACCTATAAAGCATCACCTCAAAAATATGCATAACGTCATGATAATTCAAAAGACCCATTAAGAATTGCAAACAACATTTGTGTGTAATCGTCTTCTAAAAAAGGAGGTGGTGTATACAATATTAACTAAAATAATATAGTTAATATATATATCGAAGATTTGAAATCTTCAGCTAAAATAAAATAAGGCGGGTCGTAAACTGCTCGAATAAACAGTCCGTTAAAAAACAACCCTAAAGGTATTTTCGAAGTCTATAACACTTAAAGATGTAATTTAAGTCCTGCAAGCAAAAAAATGGTTTGATATAATAAATATTTTATTGCTATAAATTTTTATGGATAATATTTTTCATAATTGTTTAAATGTGCTAAATTTATGAGGATTAAAAGCTGTAGAACATTTAGCCATAGTAACTGATTATCTAGAGATAGCATCGGTCATATAGAAATTCTATGAGTATGATTAATATTTACATCAATAAGATCCCTGAATGGAGTTGGTGAAATAGTTTATTTGGAAGATTCAGGTTTAAGTGCAACTTATCCAAGAACAGTTGATTCAATGTAATCATATTTTAATAAATGAGGAGCTAATTCAGCCATTCTATATCTAACCTATTATAATACAAAATTTGCATACTTCTTCTAAAGTATCATAAGGTAGAGCACATCCACATTCTTCAGATAATGCTCTCAAAATTTCCCAATCTGATTTTGCACCTGATGGAGGTAAAGCAACTAATTTCGTTGTTTAAACTCTACCTTCTGTTGATACCTTTTGGAATATACAAAAAAAATTACATAAGTTCCATTCTTTTCAGTATAGGTAGCTCCAGGTAATATAAGATCTGCATAATATGCACCTTCATCTCCATGACTACCAATATATATTACATATGCATCTTTAGGTATATCTTAAGCATTTAAATTATTATCAACTCCTAATAAGATTACAACTTTAGCTGGAATGCTGCTCTTTCTAGATGTGATACCTAATTCAAGAGCATTTATTCTTCCAACTTCTTTATGTAAAAAGTTAAATCCATTCCAACCTTATTATGGATTTACTACAGGTGAATTTTAAGCAATCTTTTTTAAAGTATTATGAATAGCATTTCCATCTACTCTTTCTAAAACACCTGCTCCTGTTAAAATCATTGGTAATTTAGCATTTTTGAGTCTGGCAGCAAATGGATGAGTACCATTAGCTATTTCATCAAGGATTGAAGCATTATTTCCTAAATGAACATAGTTATATGTTAAATCGTTAGCTGATCCAATAAGAAATACTTTTAAGTTATTTTTTCTAGTAGCTCTTAAAATTCTAGAATTTAATAATGGAGATTCAACTTTTGGATTAGTACCTACTAATAAAAGTACATCAGCTTCTTCAACACCGGTAATTCTTGAATTTAATAAATAATTAGCTCTAAAATCAGCATCTAATTAAGGTACACCAGTTCCTCTAATTTCAAAATTATCACTATCAAATCTATTCAATAAATCTTTTAAAGCTACAATAGATTCACAATCAGCAAATTCTCCAATTACTCCTACAATCTCTTCTCCTTTTACAGATTATAACTTTTTAGCTGCTTATTATATTGCATCTGGCCAATATAAATCAGTAAAATTGCCTTATGCATCTCTAGCTAAAGGTAATGTTAATCTTTATTTTTTTAATCCATCAAAAGCTTATCTTGATTTATCATTTAACCATTCTTCATTTACTTCTTCATGAATTCTTGGCAAGATTCTCATTATTTCTGCTCCTCTTGTATCAATTTAAATAAAAGGTATGATAGTATCAAAAACATCTACAGAATCGTATGACTTTAATTCCCATGGTCTTGATGTAAATGCATAAGGCCCATTGGTTAATGCACCAACTGGACAGATATCAGCAAGATTTCCTTGTAATTCACTAGTGATCATTTTGTCAATGTATGTACCGATTTCAGTATTCCTTCCTCTTCCACTAGTTCCTAATTCAGTTACACCAGCATATTCATCTGAAAATCTGATACATCGTGTGCAATGAATACATCTATTCATACTTGTTGCTACTAATGGACCAAAATTCTTATCTTCAACTGCTCTCTTATATTCATTATGTCTACTATC